CCGATGTAACATCGTATGTACATCATAAATTCCCAGTTTCATTCTTGCTGTACATCGCAACCAAAAAAACTTGTCAAATTTACGAAATCATTACTGCAAACAGCTCCATGAATGCTCCTATCTCCAGCACTTCACACACACACAAAATAATTCTTGCACGCTTTGCGTGCCTGTGTTTTTTAACAGGCCATCGACTCAGCTGTTCATAAATCAATTTTAACTGGCAAAATTAAAATGATCAATAATTCTTACAATGGTTGTTAAGTGTGTTTTCTTTTCAGGGCAGTAAAAATATTTTGAAATCCAGTTGCCCAGCGGGCCAGAACATTTCAGGTTTCAGTTGCCCCCACTAAAATATTACTAGCCAAATAGATGCGCAATGTTCATGCCTTGTCAACTCATTATTTACCAGGTACTGTCTATAATCAGTGATAGACCATAACAGAGGATGAACGAGAACAAAGCATACTTGGAATTAAATTAATCCATGCTTTCAACTTATTGTTTTGCTCATTGTGCAGTCTTAAGCTTTGAAATTGTTTTTGATTGGAAATTATCACTAACAAGACTACTGAGGCTAATTTCACTTGCCCACCAGACCACCAAACTTCCATTTTCACTTGCCCAAGAGCAAAATTTACTTGCCCTGGGCAATTGGACCTGGATTTTGTCCTGCCCTGCCTTTTGTAATATTGTTTAATTTGTTATTATTCTGTGATGAATTTCCATGTCTGCAGCATTTTAATAGACTGATGTTGTTATGTTTCCTTTGTTTTCATTCTGTGGAAACACTTTTCACCTAAGTGTGAATTTGCACTTGTAATGTTATAGGTAGAGGCTGGTCAATATTGTACATTTGTTGTTTCACCTGAGAGAAGTCTACATGCCTGTGGAAAGGTAAACCTCATAGTCACCTTTTAATATTATATTAAAGCTGTGAATACCAGATACAGCTGTAATTATTATCATGAGTAGTTCTTTCATTGCAGAGCTCCGGCGGCCCAAATGCCAAACAGAGCACCATACCATCCTATAGGAACAGAACCATATACATGCATCGAAACAGAAAACCATGCACCTCTTTTAACATGGTCAACATGGCTAGTGGCATGGATTGTTGGATGCGTGCGCCCTACGACAAAGACAACAAAAAACAATGTTGCTCAACATGGAGGCCATCAGGGTTGTAGCCAAGAAAATAGTCTCCCGCCTAAGGTTTTCATTTAGCCGGTCACAATTTTTCATGAGATACCTGGAACAAAATTTATGCCCCCAATCTTTTGCAACGCCCTGAATGCCAGGCTACCAAGCTTTGTGTTTACAAGATGGCGAATGCGGTACATGGAAAGAGAACATGTTAAACAAGTGCTCAAAACAAGATTTTATTTCAATTACTTTACTCGTTATAGTGGCACCGATACTTAAGGCAGTCGGGAGTTTATCCCAAACTTTTTATTTAGACAGTTTGATGTGGTTTTGATATCAAATGATTGAACATGTGTAACCTATAAACCATTCATTGTCCTTTACTGAGTGATGCCCACCAAAATCCAGCCAGCTACACTACTTTCTCAGCTGGTGAATTTCGTGGTAGCATGTACTTAACAGCAACCCTGCAGCCATATTCCAGCTAATACCAAGTCATGCAGCCATGGTTTATAGCTTACATCTTTGATTTATTTATTGGACATCCACGTTATGTCCAATTGACGCCTGTAAAAACAAAGTAACCGCTGACCAGTATCATGTGACCATATATCGCGAGTTCAGGTTTGGAGCTCATCGAGGTCATGTGTTTTTTGAAGTTGACAGCTGACCAGTTGCTGGTTTTTGATTGGGTTGCAGGCTCAAGCTGGGTTAACTTGTAATCAGGGACAGGTTGTTCAGAAGTCAGTCAATGCTAACCCAGAATTAAGGTGGCTGAACACAATTTTTGCTAATACGATTCAGCATACATGGCATTCATGAACATGGCGTTGATACAGCAATCATTTTATTTGGTCGATGCTCATGCTATCTGTGCTATTTTTCTTTATAATTGAACACAGTGTATTTATGGTTTTGGTCTGTTATGAGAAATGTATGTTAGAATCTGCAATTTGCAGATTTTTTTTGTTACCTAAAGAACCCAGTTAAATGCAACGAATGCGTAGTAAGTCAACAAATTGTGATTGAATGTGGAATAGCTTTTTAGGAAATACACATATTTCTTGAGAATCGCTCATTAGAATTTCATGAAATTTGGCTCAAAAATACTTTAGGAAATAAGTAACTGGAGAATCGAAAAGAACTGAAATGTGTGGTTCCAGAAAATATCCATACCCCCCACGGAAGGTCACGGAAATTCTGAGGGGTAGGGGGGTCTGAAAGAGGTAAATTTCCGAAAGGGAGGGGGGTACATAAAGAGTTTTTCTTTCCAGAGGGTTTGAAATGCGATTGAATAAACATGTACCTACTTTTCCAATTGATTCAGGTAACCAAGAAAAATGAAAAGTTCTATCCGTTGAAATAGATGCGAGATTCCTTGTCATATGTTTTCTATTATTGTTCCGGCGCCAGACGACACATGTAGCACTGAGGCACACTTCTGAGCGGCACGTTCGATGTCAAGTCAAACGAAATGGCTGACTAGAACAATATCGTTCCCAGTCCCCTGACATTGGCTGTATTGAGGGATCTAGCCGAAATGAATTTGAGCGGAAGTGCGTAATTTCTCTCTTTGCTTTTGTGTACTTTCACTGGCTCTTCATTTTCATTCGGACGCTTGGCATCTCGTTCGCTTGAATTGTTTTTAATACGTGATGAATAAGCAGTTGGAATTTTCATAATAATTTTACAGTGCATGATTTTATTGCTATGTGATACTCTACTGATATTTAACAGACCATGGTAAGGATTGCGTGACTTGTCAAAACATTCTGCGTAAAGTTATTTTCTTTTCTTAAGGAAGAGTTCAAAGTTCCATCTCTGACTTTATTCTTCGTCCCCTGAAGAAGCGCTGTCTACACGGCTGTTTTCCTCTTCTAAACTACTAGAATTTGAAAAAGTGCCACTTCTATTAGCGTCCAGTGTTTGAAGAAGTTTTTGTCTCGCATCGATTGTCTTCCTCAGTGAATCCTGAGCTCTCCTTAGCTCAGCCAGCTGGGAATCCAATTCTTTCTTGCTCTCCTCTACTTTAGTCAGAGCAGCTGGGCATTCAGACTTGTTTTGCTGTCAATTGACTCCATTCTTGCAGCTGTTAGTTCTTGCTGGAGTTTCCATAGTGAAGTCTCACCTTCCTCCACTTGCGTAATGTTCCTCTCTAAAGTAGCTCTGGATAACTGAAATTTCTTTAGCAAGTGATCTGGACACTTTTGGTTTATTTCATCATTGACCTTGTGCACCTCATCCTTGATTA